CCTCCTCTGGACTCTCTCCAGCAGCTCCATGTCCTTGCTGTGCTGTTCCCAGGGCTGGAGCAGCTCTGCAGGGGGGTCTCACCTGAGGGGGCAGAGGGACAGAATTACCTCCCTTCTCCTTTGCTCCCCCCTTTCTTAGGGGACCTCCTTCCTTTGTCTTCCCTTTTTTAGAGGAAAGGAAGAAATGTTTCAGTGAGAATGGCCTGGATCCCTCCAGTCCCCCCATCACCTCCCCAACCACCCCCAACACACAAACTCCTTGCCTGGTTGGACCACTGTGCTGGGCACTGGCATCACACACACAGGGGTGTCCCCTGGGCTTAAATGATCTTTTAATTAAGAGCCTTTTATTTGTGTTTAGTATCTGCTCCGTGCTGTCTCTCTGTCCTAGCTGTGGGAATGGTTCCAGGAACGGAAAACCTGTCCCTTCCTTTGGTCTGCTCACACATGACTATTACTCAACCACTTACAGTATTTACAAGTCCAGCTCATGGCAATTAAAAAAGGATGTATTAAAATAAACCCCTCTTTCCAAGCTGGAAAAGGATATTAGACACTGCTTTTTGTAAATAGTGTCATGTTTTCTGTGCAGAAACTGTTTCTCTGCCAGGGGTCCAGGATTTTTTTTTTCCAGGGAAATAAGAGTTGCCACCAACAGTATTTTTTTTTTCTTTTATGCTCAGTTGAAATCATTTGTTATCTGAGCTTGGGCTGTGCTTCCCTGCACTGGCTCCAGCAGGTCTTGGATACTGAGCCTTTTCCTTGCAGAAACAGCTGTTGGCAGAGAAGGCAGCAACTCCATGTGCTCCACCTGGGATGCCCTAGGATGTGGCAGGACCTGGCACTGCAGTGGGAACAAGCTTTTTGGCTCGTGAGGGACAGGAAGCAGTGACTGCACCCTGTGGGAAGGATGGTTTGGGTGATTCTGTTTAGAGGACACCTGGGTGAAACTGTTTATTAAACTGATTATTTTCAACACCATCTATGGAATCACAGACCGGTTTTGGTTGAAAGGGGGGCCTTAAAGATCATCTTGTTACACTCCCCTGCCATGGGCAGGGACACCTTCCACCAGCCCAGGTGGTTCCAAGCCCGTCCAACCTGGCCTTGGACACTCCCAGGGATGGGGCAGCCACAGCTTCTCTGGGCAACCTGTGCCAGGGCCTCCCCACCCTCACAGGGAAGGATTTCTTCCTGATATCTCATCTAAATCTACCCTCCTTCAGTTTAAAGCCATTCCCCTTGTCCTGTCCCTCCAGGCCCGTGTCCCCAGTCCCTCTCCATCTCTCTTGGAGCCCCTTTAGGCACTGGAAGGGGCTCTGAGGTCTCCCCAGAGCCTTCTCTTCTCCAGACTGAACAGCCCCAACTTTCTCAGCCTTTCACTATCTTTCTGGTCTCATGTCTTATACACCTTAATATACATCTTGCAGTTTTCAAGAGAGCCAGAAGCAAATAATTTGCTTATACAGGGAAGAAATAAGGTCTGATAAAGCCACCACATTCCAATTCTCTGTTATGTTTTGCACTGGAGGGAAAAGTTTTAGAGGGTGCAAATCCTTCGCACAGTTTCAGCCTAACAGAGTTTATGGACTCGAGCAATTAAGAGACAACTGAGATCAGTTGCTTGGAAAATACTCTATAGGTGTGAATTAGTAATGATACAAAGTGGAGTTAATGGGGTGTAATTATTCTTTGACAACTCCCAAGAAAAACTGCACATAAACCCTGAATTATTCCCCAGCAGGAAGAGGGGAAGGTGGGGGACTAATAAAGTGTTGCTAATGGGCAATGCCAAATGAACCCAAAATTTCAGGAGACCTTCAGGGCAGTAAGAGCAGGACAGCAAAATGAAATAATCCTGATTTTATTCCTGGAAGGAGACTGGTATTAAAAACCTGGAGCCAAAAAGCAGTGGTCAAGTCCTTATCCCACGTGAGCAGCAGAGCCAGCCTGTGTTGGTGCCCCTCCATCAGTGACCAGGGATCTGATCCGAGTGATTCACACACAGAGAACAGGACAACATGAATTGCCAATAGCACACAAATTTCAAAGCACCTCTTGCATGATAGAGACCAGATGTTACACACATTTTTCTCCCCCCTTGTACCAAAGAATAGCAGATTAAAAGGATCTGAAGGTTTTAAACCTGGGTGTTTCACATGCTTTCCTGACAAAAGCTATGGATAAGATCTGACAGAAATTCTGCATTCTGGATTCCCTGCCTGCTTTGCCTTTTTTTTTTTTTTTCCCTGCTCAAGTCCTGTAAATTATAAATATTCCCCTTGACAAGAAGCCCTCAAAGAGAAGTTCAGGAATCAAAGTCACTAACAGAGTCAACAGGAGTTGGACAAGAACAAAGAAAAGATTCTTGCACAAAAGTGACAGGAATACAAATCCAAACTGCATCTCTCAGGGAAAGGTGGGAAGTGAAAGCAGAAATCTATGAGCAATTACAGAGCAAATAACGAAGGCAGGCTGGAGAAAATGCCACTCCAAGCTCCCTCTGCTAAAGGCTCAGTGTTCCAGCTGCTGTTCCAGCTGCTGATCCAGCTCGGAGGAGCAGAGTAGAAATGCAGAGAGCATATTCCCAGCTTACACTGAGTTCCAGGGCATGGCAGGATGGCAGGATGGGGATCTCCCCACCTTTCCTGGGAGCACCAGCCCTGTTGCTCTGCCAGGGGTTACTGCTGCTGCTGAGATCAGCTACACCTCTGCTCATCCCCCCAGTCCCAACCCCCAGTCCCTGGGCTCAGGGGAGGTTGATACTTCAAACCCCACCAAACCTTTTCCAGAAACAGTGAAGATCAAATTTTCAGATGTAAGATGGAAAAAAAAAAGGTTAAAATACATGTAATTAATCTCTAGGTTAAGATCTCTCTTTAGTCTGTCTCTCCTGCTCTGTCCAGCCCTGAGAGCAGAGGATCTGGGGTTCACACCACACCCCATCTTCCCAGGGTCACCTGGGGCAACCCAAGTCCCCAGGCTACTCCCTTTTCCCAGGATTTATCAGCTCTGAGGGTCACTGGTTTGGGGTTCCTGATTTACTTCTATACAAACAACTTTCCAATCTGAGCTTCACATAGAAATGCAAACAATTCCTCCAGGTCCAAATCCACCTGAAGGGGTTTGGGCATCCAGGAGAGGAATCTGCACCCCCAGTTACACCTCAGTGTCCAGGGGGTTAATGATCATGTCAATACAGGCTGGCTGAGAACTCTTGTTCCCTTGTGCCTACTCAGCCTGGCAGTAGCCACCCCTGCCTGGTTGGGCCCTACTCCAGGGTGTAAGTTCTCATTAGGTTGTTTCTTACTTACACCCCACTTAGACTCTGCTCCCTGGAGCACTGCCATCCCCAGCGATGGCAGACACCAATCACATAGATGACAAGTCCAATAAATCGTTGTATTTCCCTCTCTTTATCCCAGCCTTTGCTGTTTTCCCATTGCAGAGATCCCAGACATGGCTCGCAGCCACACCTGAGCACCCTGTACAACTGGACACAGCACATCCCTGCCCTGGGGAGCATCCCTGCCCTGGGGAACATCCCTGCCCTTGCTCCCTGCCCTGGGGAGCATCCCTGTCCTCTGGGATGGAGCCCACACCACAGGCACAGCACACGTGTTGCTGCCGAAATCTCGTGTGTGCTGCAGAGCTGTGAGAGCACAGAGAGTTAACAAACATTTCTGGTTTGTAAGCTCATGGAAGCACAGGGTGGCATGTCCCAAACAAGCCTATTTGCCTGCAATA